TGAGGTGGGATAAGATGTGCTACAGGGATCAGTGATTATTTACAACAATTAGTCACTTCTTTCATCCAAGTTGTTGTGAATGTACGATAGCCAATGATGTGGACGACAGAAAAATAGATAGAAAGGCAAGCGGTGAGGATGACACAGAGTCTGCAGAGGGTTATAAAAGTTAAGTGAATGGATTGTAATGTGAGACAATGTGAGGTTATGCACACTGGCAAGAAAAATAGGGGAGCTGAATATTATTTAAATGGAGAAAAACTGTAGAAAGCTGCAGCACGGAGGAATTTGGGGGTGTACAAGTCTATCAGTTAATAGGGAAGACAAATACCTTTATTTTAAAAGGAATAGAATATAAATATAACTAGTCTCATTAAACTGTACAAGTACTAGTTGGACCACACCTAGGATACCATGTACAGTTTTAGTTTCCTCACCTAAGGGCAGATACACAGAGTTTGGATACAGTCCAGAGAAGATTCACAAGATTGATCTTAGATATGGAGGAATTTTCTTAGGAGGAGATGCTGAGTAGGTTGGGCCTGTACTCCTTAGCGTTTAGAAGAATAAGAAGAGACATTATTGAAACATACAAGTTTCTTAGAGAGCTTGGCAGGGTTGATGCTGAAAGTTCGCTTTCCCTTGTGGGAATCTAGGATCAGAGGGCATATTCTCAGAGTAAGGGATCACCCAGTTAGGGCAGAGAAGAGGAGGAATTTCTTCACTCCGTAGTGAATCTGTAGAATTCTTTACTGCAGAGGCCGTTCAGGCTTAGTTTTTATGTATACTCAAGGGTGAGACAGATAGATTTTTAAACAACAGGGGAATCAAGGGATGGGGGAAATGGCAGGAAAGTGAAGTTGGGTATGATCAGATTAGCAAATGATCTAATTGAATAGTAATGCTGATTTAATAGAATCAGAAGATGTCGTCCAGCCTCTCTCTTATGGTGTTATGAACTCTAATAGTTTCTGTTATTTTTCTGAGTCAGTTTCTTTACATATTGGAGTAATTTTCACGACTACGGGAGTTGGCTTTCCTGGTATCAGCCAACTGAACTAACATCATCGGACATTTCCATTAATCCAGATAAACTCGCCACTTCAACCCTGCACTCTCCCCAGATAGATAGTCTCAAATGTCCCTTTCTCCAGAAGCACTCACTGTGTCAAACAAAAATAACAAATTCAAAAAAAAAATCAAACAGAAGCCAAACAGCATTTTATGTTACCTCTTGGTATAGGAAATTAAGGGAACATTTGTGTTCTCCAAACTCATTACCAGAAAGCATTTCCTACTTCTGAATTCTGACTTCCTAATTCATATACCCCCAGGCCACAGGCTGACCCCTGTGGATACTTAGAGACAATGGATCAAATGCAGATAAATGAAGTTCAAATGCATCAGGCATGATCTAACAGAGCGGTGGGAAAGGACAAGAAGGTGAATTACTTGTTCTTATGTTTTGAGGATCAAGCCTGTAATACTACAATCAATCAAATACCCATTTCCTTCATCATCTGGATGCAAGTTCAAACTTGAAAGCATATTCACAATATTAGCATGAATGCAAAGATCTGGCTTCCAATTCTCAGCTGCAACTGGAATGTACCTTATAAGAAGTAAAATTACAAAAACAAGTGTCTAAATAGAAGAACTGCTGGAACTACAATCCACATGTAGAGAGGAATATTAAACGTTAATGTTAACCTACTTATTGTTCTCTTTGCAAATGTTGAGGGACTTATTTGTAGTTCCATTTTTAAAATGTGTACGCACAGTGCTCCTGCTTGTGTATTTTATTAAGATGATAACTGAAAAAAATTCACTTATGTTTCAAACATCCTCACCTTTTCCTGCTTTAAACTTTGCTAATATAAAGCAATTGTAATGAGTGTGACCAGCTCTTGGGGACTCAGGTATGAGATGCTCTGGCTGCCTTTGGGAAGGTATGTTGCCTGGTGAGCTTGTAACAGTGGCTGGGAGTCAAAGTCTTGACGGTGAATCTGGGGGACACTCAGAGTGTGTATGCATGCATGCAGAACTAATAATGATCCAGAGTACAGGGCAGATAGTGTCCCAGATGCAGACAATCCAGGGCACATGACAACCGGCTCATATAGTTAGTCCCCGGACTGTAATAGAACAGAAAGTGAACTCACTTATTTGCAAAGGTACAGCCATTTAAACACTTTCAAGTCTGAATTGTCTAAGAACAGCTCATGTATTGGTATGGTCTTGTTCACAGCAAACAATGCACCTGAAGGAGTGCTTAGATGGATCCATGAGCTCAATATTTTCACAACAGTCAAAGCTTTCTCTTAAAACATCACAATTTTCCAAAAAAAATGTTTTTCTGACTGATTTTATTTTCTTAAGTGCAACTTAGCATTTTCTACTTGCTGCACTGTCATTCTAATTATAAAACTTTCTTAAGCTTCCTCTCTATTCCTAACCATACGGCAACGTTGGCTCGGAGCTCAGCTCTGCATTTTTAAAAAAATCTTTTGTGTTGTTCATCTACATCCAGTGTACATATTTGTAACAGGATGGATTTTCTTTCACATTTTAGTGTGTGTATCCACTTGCTTTAATCCAGCCATGAGTAAAACAAGCAGTGGTCCCATTCTAGTAGTCAATTTCGATCTCCCGTTTCTAAAATAATTAGATTTATCTTTATAAACATTGTTTTCAAAAATTCTGACTTGGTTAGTAAAATATGCAATCAGAAGAGACACTTAATTTCCTAAAGTTTATAGTTTATGAAAGGTCAAGAATTGGAATACAAGCAGCTCTCAGTCTAACATTTACTCTCCCCAAGAGGCCTTTTCCATTATATTATTTCCTTCAGCTGGGGGAAGAGATGGTCAGGACTGGGGACTTCTCCAGAATCCCTGCCAGCAACATTCACTGTCCCCCTAACAGGAACGAAGCTCGCTTGCATAGGGTGAGCTGACTAGCCAGATTTAACTCAGGAACAGATGGAAAGCATTACCATAAAACAGTACACTGTAAAAGCCTAGTTTGAAGATGACAGATCTCATCCCGAATGCAGCAGGATTTGAACATTTGGACATAAAAGTTGCGGGTCCATTTACGGAGTCATAGATTTATCCAGCAAGGAAACAGACCATTACGCCCATGCCAACCAGATATCCTGAACTGATCTAGTCCCATTTGCCAGCATTTGGCCCATATCCCTCTAAACCCTTCCTATTCATGGACGCATCCAGATGCCTTTTAAATGTTGTCATTGTACCCACCTCCATCACTTTTTCTGATAGCTCATTCCATAAACGCACCACCCTCTGTGTGAAAAAGTTGCCCCTCAGGTCCCTTTTAAATCTTTTCTCTCTCACCTTAAACATATACCCTCTAGTTTTGGACTCCCTTACCCTGCGAAAAACACCTTGTCTATTCACCCTATTCATGCCCCTCATGATTTTATAAACCTCTATAAGGTCACCCTTCAGCCTCCAATGCTGCAGGGAAAACGCTCCATTCTACTCAGCTTCTCCCTACAGCTCAAAACCTCCAGTCCCAGCAACATCCTTGTAAATCTTTTCTGTACCCTCTCAAGTTGAACAACATCCTTCCTTTAGCAGGGAGACCAGAATTGAATGCAGCATTCTAAAAGTGGTGTAAACAATGTCCTGTACAGTCACAGCATGATATTCCATCTTCTATATTCAAGGCACTCACCAATGAAGGCAATCACACCAAATGCCTTCTTCACCACCCTGTCCACCTGCAACTCCGCTTTCAAGGAACTATTCACCTGCACCCCTAGGTTCCGTTGTTTGGCAACACTCCCAACGGCCCTATCATCAAGTGTATAAGAGCTGCCCTCATTTTCCTTACCAAAATGCAACACCTCACATTTATCTAAATTAAACTCCATCATTTCTAAACAAGAAGCTGTTTGCAAATCGCTTGATTTAGCTTGTGTTATCTTGTTCATGTGCTGAATCAAAATATTTCTAAGGATTGTGATAAGGTATTTGACACCATTGATAGTACTCTGCACATCACCTTATCATCCCTTCAGTTTCTGTATTCAATGGATTATCCTGCACTATTCCTGTCAGCTCCAGAATGTTGCAATCACTAAGTGTACCTTCCAATGCCCTTTCTTTTCAGCATTCTGAAGGGCACTTGCTATCCACTCCTCAGTCCTAACACTGAATCTGTCCTCTGCGGCACCTTTCCATGCAAGCACGGGGTACACAATATCTGGACATAAACTTTATTTCTGATTACAACTATTGCTCTCTTTGGCTTTTGCCACATGACATGTTTCATTAGTTAAGTCCTACCCTCTACCCTATCACCGATCGTGCTTGCATGCCCCTCTCCCACCCTTCTACTGATTTTAAGAGGTTTATAGTTGTATCTTTCTTCAGTTCTGATGAAAGGTCATTGACCTGAAATATTAACTCCACTTCACATTTGCCAAATATTTCCAGTACGTTTTTGTTTTTAATTCAGATCTCCAGCATCAGCTGTGTTTTGCTTTTGTGTCAAATACAGAACCTTTTGGTTTATATGGGTAGATAATGCCCCTTTACTCGCTAAACACTATTGTGAAGAAACTTTTTTTGATTTTGAAAAAAAAAGACAGTTCAAGTGTCATCTTAATTGTCCTGTTGATGAAGTATCATTGTTAGCTACTTACTTTAATCCATTAAATAGTTGGAAAATTCCAAATTTCCACCATTCTCTACTACAGTATCTTCCAAAATTCTACAAGACTGAATAAGAATCTATTTTGTTTTCAGAATAAAGCTATTACCTTCCATAACTGGGTTACACAAATATCACCGTGTCCTAAAAACCAATCACCCAACGAAGGTTTCTCTCCACCAGTAAGGATTTTATTTGAAGAAGCTACAGTGTTAATCTGATAATCATAGATCTGTTGAATCATTGTATTCTAACATGGGCAAACATTTTCTCTGTTTTGCAAATTCTACTAAAAATATTCATGGGATCTTTCTTACCTTGCTGGTGAGGAAACGCCACGACATAGCTTGACAGTTTGACTTCACAGGTTGTGCCACATTCCAACGGTATTGCAAACCTTCCAAAATAATTCAGCATTTCTGTGACAGACTGGAAACAAAAGTGTTGGACTAGGCATTGCCCTCTTTCTGTCACGAGCAGTCGGAGATGCTAAAAATTTAGAAAAACATCTGTGAATCACTACAATATTCTGTTTGGTATTACAGCAATTACTGGGCACAGTCTAGTTTACCTAATTTAGCAAATAGACTTAAATTTGCAATATGATTCAGCTTAAGAGCAAAAATAATCCTCAACAACTTGTCTTTCCCTACTTCAGGGGTAGAGACCAATCACTGTTCGCAACGAAGATTAAGTAACCTTGATCACAGAATGACCAAAGCTGCAATATACCTGTCTATTAGATCCCGTACCGCACCACAGAGGGAAATTACCCACTGAGCTATTGGACAGCGATGTAAAGTTTACTTACTTACACAGAAATGCATAGGAGTTACAACATAGAAAAATGCATTCGCCTAATTAGTCCATGCTAGTAGTTAGCCTCAACACAAGTAAATAGTTCTAATCACAATTATTCATTTTTTACCATGTCCATTTTCCCCTTTTATTTCATTCATCCATCCATCCAATCTAATTTTAAATTTTGACTTAGATCGCCTTATACAAACCCGCTGAGAATAGTTTGTGTTTTGGACATTTGGTAATTCAGTGTGTGTCTTGAAACACAATTTCTAAGGCCTTTCCTTAGAATTTCCTCACTCATTTCTTACAGCATCCTGTAGTATAACTGTGTGATAGGCTAATGAGAAACAATATACATCATTACAGGAAATGATGCAACATCACATGATCTCTCTTGTAGTCTCTTGTCATGATGTAGCCACCATAAGGTGTTCTTTAAATAAAAGTAATATTTTCCTCACCCCTGCAGATTCTGTAAATACTATTTAGCAGCAAAACAAGATTATTATATGTTGACAATAGTGCAAGAACACGTATATAAAAGTCTCTGCCATTACTGGCGAGCTTCGAGCAGGTCACAGGGTCTTGCCAATGACACTCCCAGTCCATGAAGAAGGGACCTTATCCAGATCAAGCAGAAATATGGACAATGATCAGAGGTATGAATAGAGTGGACAGCCATAGACTTTTTCCTAGGGTGGAGGTAGCTATTACGAGGGGGCATAGTTTTAAAGTGAGTGGAAGTAGATATAGGGGAGACATCAGAGGTAGGCTCTTTACTCAGAGAGCGGTGGGGGCGTAGAATGCATTGCCAGAGAGGGTAGTGGAGTCGGCCTCATTAGGGGCATTTAAGTGGCTATTAGATAGGCATACGGATGATAGTACAAGGTAGGGGTGGAAAGTGGAGAGTATTCCATCACACTCCTAACTGTGCCTTAAAGATTATGGACAGGCTTTGGGGAGACAGGAAGTGAGGTAATATGTTACAGATTCCTAGCCTCTGACCTGGTCTTGTAGCTAAATATTTATTCAGCTGGTCCAGTCCAGTTTCTGGTCAATGGTAACAACCCCCTACCTCCCCAGATATTGATAGTGGCAGATACAATGACAGTAATGTCACTGAATGTCAAGAAGGGATGGTCAGCTTCTCTCTTTCTGGAGATGGTCATTGCCTGACACTTAGGAGGTGCAAAAGTTGCATTGGGCCATTTAATAGCCCAATCTTGGATATTGACACAGAATGTTTCAGCATCTGTAGAGATGCAAATATTGCTGGACATTGTGCTATCATCAGTGAACATCCTCATTTCTGATCTCATTGTGCAGGTAAGGTCATTGATGAAACAGCAGAAGATGGCAGGACCTAGGTCACAGTCCCAAGACACTCCTGCACAAAGGTCTGGAGCTCAAACGATTAACTCCAGCAACACCAAACCAGCTTTCCATTGCGAGGCATGACTCCAAACACAGGATTCTGCAGGGGTGCTTTTAGCATAATGTAGTAAGTCCAACTGTAAGATTGGTAACAAGTCAATATAGAGCATCATAAGAAGTGATAGAGTTATAGAGATATACAGCACAGAAACGGATCTTTCAGTCTAATTCATCTATGCCAACCAGTTTTCCTAAATAAATCTGGTCCCATTTGCCAGCATTTGGCCCATATCCCTTCCTATTCATATAACCATCCAGATGCCTTTTAAATGTGGTAACTGTACCAGCCTCCACCACTTCCTCTGGCAGCTCATTCCATACATGCACCACCTCCTGCATGTAAAAGTTGCCCCTAAATTCCGTTTTAAATCTTTCCCCTCTCACCTTAAACCTTCTAGTTTTGGACTCACCCACCCCTGGGAAAAGACCTTCTCTATTTACCCTATCCATGCCCCTCATGATTTTATAAACCTCTATAAGGTCACCCCTCAGTTCTGACGCTACAGGGAAAATAGCCCCAGCCTATTCAGCCTCTCCCTAAACCTTCCAACCTTGGTAACATTCTTGTAAATCTTTTATTGAACCCTTTCAAGTTTCACAACATCCTCCCTATAGCAGGGAGAGCAGAACTGAATGCCTATACTGGCCTAACCCATCTCCTGTACAGCTGCAACATGGCCTCCCGACTCCTGTACTCAATGCACTGACCAATAACGGTAAGCATACCAAACGCCTTCTTCACTATCCTATCAAACTGCAACTCCACTTTCAAGGAACTACAAACCTGCACTCCAAGGTCTCTTTGTTCAGCAACACTCCCCAGGACCTTACCATTAAGCGTATAAGTTCTGCCCTGATTTGTCTTTCCAAAACGTAGCACCTCACATTTAGCTAAATTAAACTTCATCTGCCACTCCTCGGCCTATTGGCCTTTCCGATCAAGATCCCAGTGTACACTGGGTTAACCTTCTTCACTCTCCACTACACTTCCAAGTTTTGTGTCATCTGCAAACGTACTAACCATACCTCCTATGTTCACATACAAATCATTTACATAAATGATGAAAAGCAGTGGACCCAGCAGTGATCCTTGTGGCACACCACTGGTCACAGGCCTCCAGTCTGAAAAGCAACCCTCCAACACCACCTCTGTCTTCTACCTTTGAGCAAGTTCTGTATCCAAAAGGCTAATTCTTCCTGTATTCCAGCTGATCTAACCTTACTAAGCAGTCTACCATGAGGAATCTTGTCGAACACCTTACTGAAGTCCATATAGGTCACGTCCACTGCTCCGCTCTGGTTAGTCCCCGTCGTTACTTCTTCAAAAAACTCAATCAAGTCAGTGAGACACGATTTCCCACGCACAAAGCCATGTTGACTATCCCAAACAGTCCTTGTGATGCAATGTCACATGATCCTGCTCTACCTTGATTTGCCACAAGGTTGCACGACACAGTGAGATGTTTCTTCAATAAAGTAATGTTTTCCTTACCCGACCAGACACTCTAAATACTATTTAGCAGCACAAGGAGACCATGAATATTATACATTTAAGGATGTGCCCCCCACACCACCTTTCATCATTAGTGAAAGGAATAGTTTCAATATCATTAAATTTTCTTTAATCCTCTCACTCTTGACCACTATGCATTCTAAAGCTCCAATCCAGAAAATTGCAGACCTGTGAGACACATGGTGGTGGTAGGGAAATTACTGGAAAAGATTCTCAGGGACAAGATCTACACACATTTAGAAACAAATGGACTTATTAGCGATAGACAGCATGGTTTGGGTGGGGAAGGTCGGGGCTCACTAACTTGATTGAGTTTTTTGAAGGGGTGACAAAGATGATTAAGGGAAAAGCGGTTGACGTTGTCGACATGGACTTCAGTAAAGTCTTCGACAAGGTCCCTCGTGGCAGACTGGTACAAAAGGTGAAGCCACATGGTCAACAACAAAAAAACAGAAGTTGCTGGAAAAGCTCAGCAGGTGTGGCAGCATCTGTGAAAAGAAAGCAGGGTTCTGAGGAAGGGTCACCAGACCCAAAACGTTAACCCTGATTTCTATTCACAGATGCTGCCAGACCTGCTGAGCTTTTCCGGCAACTTCTGTTTTTGCTTCTGATTTACAGCATCTGCAATTCTTTCAGTTTTTATGAAGTCACATGGTATCAGGGGTGAGCTGGCAAGATGGATATAGAACTGGCTTAGTCATAGGAGACAGAGGGTAGCATTGGAAGGATACTTTACAAAATGGAGGGTTGTGACTGGTGGTGTTCCACAGAATTCAGTGTTGGGACCTCTGCAGTTCGTTGTCTACATAAATGATTTGGAGGAAAACATGGCTAGCCTAATGAGTAAGTCTGTGGATGATACAAAGATTGGAGGAGTTACAAATAGTGAGGAGGACTGTCAGAGGATACAGCAGGATATAGGTCAGTTGGAGGCATGATCAGAAAAATGGCAGACGGGGTTTAATCCAGACAAATCTGAGGTAATACATTTTGGAAGGTCAAGTACAGGTGAAAATCATACAGTGAGTGGCAGAACCCTTAGGAGAATTGATATGCAGAGGGATCTGGATTTGCAGGTCCACAGATCACTGAAGGTGGCAGCACAGGTAGATAAGGTAGCAAAGGGTGGTGATTTCAAAGAGATGTGCGAGGCAAGTTTTTCACACAAAGGAATGTGCCGCAAGAAGAGGTGGTGCAAGCAGACACAATAGCAGCATTCAAGAAGCACCTGGACCAATACATGAATGGAAAGGGAATAGAGGGGTATGGATCTTTTAAGTGAAGACGGTTTCAGTATGGAAGGACAAAATGTATCGGCACAGGCTGGGAGGGCCGAAGGGCCTGTACCTGTGCTGTATTGTTCTTTGTTCTTTTAGTAACACAGAACATGCTGATGCATGATTAAAAAATTGATTATTTAAGATAAGGAGGAAGAAACAAATAATGACAACTCCATTAATTTAATGTTAGACATGAGAAAGTCACTGGAATCTATCTAATAGTACTGAGCAACTGAGTAATTGGAAAAATCTGAGATGCTCAAAGTCATCATGAATTTGTGAGACAACAAGGTGCAGGGCTGGATGAACACAGCAGGCCAAGCAGCATCATAGGAGCAGAGAGGCTGACGTTTCGGGCCTAGACCCTTCATCAGAAA